ACGGCCGAGGGGACGAACGCGGCACAGCACGTCCGCCTCACCGCCGCCGGCCGCCTACGCTTCACGCGCTTCGACGACGTGTGCCTCGACCGCTCCGGCAGGCCGGCGAGCTGTGCGGCGGCCGGCTCCTTCCGCCGGCGCGGCCGGCACGCCCCTCTCGAGTTTACGCTCCTCTCGGCGGAGCTGCAGCGCAGCTTTGCCGGCCAGCGCCACGGTGACCGTCGCCGCACGCCCCGCCAGCGGCCTGCTGGAAGCACACGCTCAGGCGGCGGCCATTTGATTCGAGATGCGCGTCTACCGGCCGGGACCGGGAGGGAGGGGGTCCTTCGATCTGTACATCAGTAATTCCGTGATTTGTCCGTTTAAACTTTCTTCGTGGGGCAAGTGGAGTGCCCACAAGATGGTGCACGCTCAGGCATCGGCCGGTGACGTACACTACTCTCTGCAAGGGCCGGTGCCGTAACCACCCCATTAACCAGCTTGCAGCTACGAGCGACCAGCGCCACGCCCCTCGTCCCGTGGCCTCCCGCGCCCACCCCGCCCACCCCGTCCACCGCGTCCACCGCGCCCACCGCGCCCCCACTGCGCCCCCCTCGCCCACCGACCGCCGTCGTGGCGCCCGCGGGCTGTGCGTGGGGCGCAGTGCGCGAGGGCGGCTGGTGGACAAACGTCACCTGTGCTGCCACCTGCGTCCCAGTTGCGGCGATGGGCAGCGCCGGCTGGCGGCAAGCCGGGCAGTTGGTGTCGCGCTCCAGCACGCGCGGCGCACACGTCTCGCAGTACAGTGCGTGGCCGCACGCGAAACGAACCGACCGAGGGGCGTCCCAGCAGAGGTCACACAGGCGCTCCTCGGCTGCCGCCGTCTCCCCCACCTCCTCCGCCGCTTCGACTAGCGCCTCCAGCCGCGGCAGCGCCACTGTGAGCGGCATCCGCTTCCTCTTCCGCTCGTACGCCAGCCCGACCACAAGCCGCACCAGCTCATCGGCCTGCGCCGCCGACCAGCCCGCGTCGGCCGCCGCGATGCCCTCCGCCGTGTCGGGCGCTCGTCGAGCGCATAGTCGCACGCGTTGAGCAGGCCGAGAGCGCCGCGGCCGGTCAAGCTGACGAGCAACGTGATGCCGAGCGCATAGCCGTCGGTCAGTACGCTGGCCTGGCCATCCTGCATGATGATCGGGTCCATGTAGCCGGGCTTGCCGAAGATGCGCTGCGTCGACAAGTGCGAGACCTGCTGGCTGCTGCCGGCCGTCGCCTCTGCCGCCCGCGCGAGGCCCACGTCGGCGAGGTAGCCGTTGCCGCGCTCGTCGAGCAGGATGTTGCCCGCCGAGATGTCGCGGTGCAGGATCAAGGTAAGGTAAGGTAAGGTAAACTTCTCCACACACACGAGGTGGTGGGGCAAGGGGGGGCAACCCTCGCGTCTCCACGTCTAACGACAGGAGCCCCACGGCATTCAAAGTGCAAGGCCCGGTGCGCGTGGGTGAGCGGTGTGTGTGTGTGTGTGTGTGTGTGTGTGTGTGTGTGTGTGTGTGTGTGTGTGTGTGTGTGTGTGTGTGTGTGTGTGTGTGTGTGTGTGTGTGTGTGTGTGTGTGTGTGTGCGTGTGTGTGTGTGTATGTGTCACGTCACTGCATCCTCTGCCGGTTCCTCCCGTCGCCTCTTCTTTGTTCGAATGTTTTTCAGCAGGATCATCGGAGAGCAGCCGTGCAGGTAGTGCAGCGCGCTCGCCGCGTCGCGCAGCACGCGGAGCCGTGCGGCGGAGGAGAGCGGCGGAGGCGGCGTCTCGAAGCCGAGCATGTGGAGCCGCTGCAGCGCGGCTGGCGTGCGGTAGAGGCGGTCCTCGAGGCTGCCGCCGCGGCAGAGGGGGTAGACGAGGCACGTGCGCTCAGGTGCCAGGCACGCTCCGAGGAGAGGGAGGAGAGATGGGTGGCACGCCGCGCTGAGCGTGCGCACCTCGCTCTGCAGCTCGGCGAGGCCTTGGGCGCCGACACCGACCAGCGCCGTCTTGACAGCGAACCCGCAAGCGACGCGCGGGAGCGACGGCAGCGCGTCGGCACGGTAGACGCGCCCGAAGCCTCCCTCGCCCACCTTGCGCGCCTCGGCAAAGTCGTCGGTCGCCGCGGATAGCTCGTCCAGAGGGACGGCGGCGGGCGGCGC